CTTACTTACAAGATGATACTTCCCCCTCTGTCTGTAACCCTGGGAAATGAAGTGTGACACTTCAGTTCCTTCATTACTTCTAGAAGTTCATCTATGTAATGACTGGTGCATATTCATGCATTCACAAGGAAGAGTACAGAAGCAGGGATGGTACTTCACTACACCACATTTTCCCTTCTAAACTGTCACTGATTCAACACCCTGACTTTATACCTGGGGAACATCATTCAGCTACAACTTCCAGTTTCTCAGTTAAGTAATGTAACACAACACAAGGTTAAGCTACTGGTAGTTAGAAGACACCTGTTGGAGCTGCCCGGGGGACAGTTTATTAACCTCCATTCTCTGGACTCATCAGAATTGGAGAAATTATATTCTGTCTGCTGGGCTACCAGATTCATCTGCATGTCATATTCCACCTAAAATTGGCATGAATTAAAAATAAGTGACTATAAGACAATTACTGTAGAGCTCACCTTCTATAAAAAGTACTGTTCATGACTAAAACAGACATACGGTATCTACCAAGGACTAACAGACGCTGGGTACATAGAAAATGACATCCCAAGACCAGAAGATATTTTTGTTTGCTCCCTGCTGCAAGTCTTACGCATTGCCACTCTACAGTATTCAACAGTCTCAGAATACCTACCAAGAAGTATTTTCTGAACTGTAGAGTACACACAACTACTTCAGCTAATTATGAACCTTAGTCTTTGATTTGTTGAGGGCCTGACTGAAAATCTTTTGGACATTTCCAATGACTCGATGCAGAGTTATAGACGGCTTTAGTGATGGCCTTTGTATAGCATTGTAAGTAGCTGCAGTGGTTCCTGGCTTCTTTGTTTGTTAATTAAGAATAAAAATTGTATCCTACTTTTTTAATATATTTGTCTAATTTTGAAATCTAAGTTCAACCTCACTTCTCTTCTATGGTGCTATATATTAATTCCCAATTAATGAAAGCTCTAGTGAAGCCAGCCATGGCGAGTGTAGGTCAGGCTATCAGTGAGTGGCTAGAAATACCAAGAGGAGTAAAAAATAATTATTTAACTAGAACAAAAATGTACTAAATCTTAGTAAAGGTAAAACTTAGCCATATGCAAAAATGGCTGAAATATTTAAAACAATATATATTTGGGGTTTTAAAAGAAGCAGGATAATGTATTCCAGTCTTACAGCAAAATACCTTTTCCTGCATATGTATCTAGGAAGGATATAAAAATCAAATGTACTACTAATAATGCACTATCATAGTCAAATTATGAAGTAAAAAACTGAGAAGTAAGTTTATCACATGATAGCGATTTTCTCTGGGGTTTCATTACTGTATATCATCATCTTGAAGAGCATCAAACAGATCTGAGTGCTGCTATTTTAGCCACCTTGAGTAGCACCTTCCTTTGCTCTTAATCCTATTGACATTTACTTGAATATTTATGGAGTAAGTTGCTCTCTGGTGTGCACAGTGATTTCAGGATCTACCCAGCAGATAGTGTGGAGCGAGCCATAAGCAGTGCTTGTTTTTCTGGTACAGTTCTTGCTCCTCAGCTGAAACAAGAGAAATCCCCTTCTTCCCCATGCGTGTCTGACTCACTGACGGGCCCAACCTGAAATTCTGAAATGTGATGTATTGGTCTCATTGGAGTTTCTATTTTAATGTCCTCACACAACCTGCTGAAGTTCAACAAGGCCAAGTGCAAGGTCCTGCACCTGGATCAGGGTAATCCCCAATATTAATACAGACTGAGGGATGAAGGAATTGAGAGCAGCCCTGCAGAGAAGGACTTGGGGATATTGGGACATGAAAAATTAGACATGACCCAGCAATGTGCGCTCTCAGCCCAGAAAGCCAACCATATCCTGGGCTGCATAAAAAGAAGCATGGCCGGCAGGTCAAGGGAGGTGATTCTAACCCTCCACTCTACTCTTGTGAGACCCCACCTGGAGTATTTTGTCCAGCTCTGGGCAAGTACAAGAAGGACATGGACCTGTTGGAGCGAGTCCAGAGGAGGGCCACAAAATTGATCAGAGGGATGGAACACCTCTCCTATGAAGAAAGGCTGAGAGAGTTGGGGTTGTTCAGCCTGGAGAACAGAAGGCTCCCTTACTGTGGCCTTTCAATATGTAAAGGGGGCTTATAAGAAGGATGCAGAGAGTCATTTTTACCAAGGCCTGTAGTTATACGACAAGGTGCAGTGGTTATAAACTGGAAGAGGGTTGATTTAGACTGGACATAAGGAAGAAATTTTTTACTGTGAAGGTGATGAGGCACTGGAACAGGTTGCCCAGAGAAGCTGTGGATGCCCCATCCCTGGAAGCGTTCTAGGTCAGGTTGGATGGGGCTTTGAGCAACTTGATCTAGTGAAAGATGTCCCTGCCCATGACAGGGGGGTTGGACTAGATGATCTTTGAAAGTCCCTTCCAACCCAAACTATTCTATGATTCTATGACTCCGTATGAGAGGACCAAATCAAAGTGCCATGAACAACCTGAATTATAAGAACTCCTGGAGCTTTTTAGAAAAAGGAGTTGGGGGAAAAAAACACAGATAACTGGAAAATTTGTCAAATCTGATTTTGAAGGAGGACTGAACCAAGGTTAAAGTTTGATGGAGGTACTCAGCATGTAAATTTCAGCTTAAATGCTTAGTTGGGGAAATCTTAGTAGTGACTGAAAACAGGGTCACAGATGGTAAATCATTAGACAACCTTATCCGTACTTAGCACATCCAGTTTCAGCTGCCAGGTCAGTCTCAACAGTCCTAATCATTTCCCTGGTTCTCCACTATTACTGTCAGAGGAACTTCATAGGGATAAACACTTTAAAGAGTATCCTACAATGGTATTGTTATAATTTTTATTTTCAGAGTAAGATTAACATGAGGCAGCTTCAGTCCTATTTTTCTGGTAGTACACAGGCATGTACAATGCAGCTCTGATGGTGCTACTCTTTCCGTGAGTGCAATTTAGCTGTCAAATTAGTTCACACAACTATGGAAATTTCCAAAGGGGAAGAAGGTAACAAAATAAGTAGGTTTGCCTGAACATTGCAGGAATAGTATATGGTCCCAGATCTATACTTGCTTTCAGTAGTGTAATGCAACTAACTTTAGTGGAAGGGTCATTCTGAAATTAAGTCATTCAACAAAGAGCAGGATTTTTATTTAGTTTTTTGTATTTGACAGCATAGACTCAGCTCTTTTCGTAATAACCCCTTTATTTCTATTCAAACTGGTTAAGTTCATCCACAATTTTTAAGAATGGCAATGTGCAGTTATTTGGATTTCTGCTAATTCTACCTTCTGATTTAGAGAATTTTTTACCATCTATTTCTTAGCCATCCAGAGTGTCTTTTCAACTTCTGATACTTTTTCTCACTATGCTTGTGTGCTTTCTTCCCTAGTTTCTACATTTTTCAGCAGCCATTGCAATATACTTGCCCATCCATTTGTCTTTGGAAAGATGGCCTCCTAAACTGCAGGGAGTTGTCAGTCTCCGCTTCTTGTGGACAGAGATCCTGAGATATGGCTTGGGGAAAATAGGCAGGCAGACAGCAGTAGTGATTGCTGCTTTTTTTTTTTTTTTTATATATACAAGCACTATTACGAGCTTCCAAAAGTGACAAGGGAGCTCTAGCAGCTGTCTCAGCTCTCAGCTCATGAGAAACCCTCAGCTTCTTATATATATCCTCATGCATGATCAGTAGGAAAGGCTAAGGTGTGAAACTTGGCAATGTTATGTAGCAGCTTCTGTAAGTTTGATGGTGGGAAGTATTTGCCCATACTGCTGTTCTAGATTCATACTCTGGGTACATTTACATGTAATGCTTACTTTTTGAGGTACTATTTCCAATTCTGTTTATCAGGATTGGAAATTAATCTCAGAAGGTCCAGGTCTACTAATATTAGTAGGACCCCTGCAGAGAGAAGAATCAGCTGTATTTATTCCCTGAATAACTCTTTGCTCAGTGCATGCTTTCTTCTCACCTTAGTCTTTGCTGAAACCTTTCCTGGCATTCCTGTAGTGTTATAGGCAGGGTGAAAGCCAGATTAGTTACGTAGCAAAAGCCAAACTAATCCTTGAGGGCCAAGTCTGCTTTGGCATGTGTTAATGGACTGCGTACAGAGCATGTTGCAGATGTGTGGGGAAGCAGACTGGAAAACGCAATGCTGTCAATAAAGCTGCAGAATTTGAGGGCTTCAGTGTTTCTCAGGCTGCCTTCATCCAGAGCCAGAGGGCTTCTGCAATTTATTTTGCTCCCACTTCCTCCTGAGGGACAACTTTCCTTAAAGAAAATCAAGGATAAGAGAGAGGTAAGGCCTCTCTGAAGAGACCAGAGGGATCAGTCTGCTCAACTTGATGCCTGAAGGTAGGGAATTCACAGTCAGGTAGCCTGCATAGTAGAGAGGCAATAATTCTTATTTGAAAATAACAGAGACAGGTGCAGTCAAAAGTCTGTAGCAATAGCATCTATTTGTAAATTATCCCTATACCAGGAAGAGCTACCTGCTAATGAGAAGTTGCAGACTCTTCACTGTTTTTTATGGTGATGTTTTGCTTTTTCTAATTCTCTACCTGATATACTTTTCTGGTAGAGCAAATAATAATTATGAATTATAATCATGTAACACTATTCTTATCCAACAGCAAACTCGACCAGGATAGTGTCAAACAAAGCTGCAAGCAATTTCTCATTTAGGAAAATAGAGTTTTCTGTATTACTGCTGTGGGAAAATGTTGTCATCTCTCAGCTGATGGTATACACTGTTCTAGATGTAATGATCTTCTTTAGTTATAACGGTGATGAACCACTATGCAATCGCATGTCAGGTTTTGACTGCACCTGTTTGCAAACTCAGGTAATTATGCTCCGTTGTCTAATTGCTTATTTTATGGATGTTTTGCGCACATGTTTTAAGCAATGCTATTTGATTGCAGATAACTAATGGTAGGGTTGTCTTCTCATTATCATACATTTGATTTGTCTGATTGCTGCAGGTGGAAACAATAGGTGATGCATACTGTGTTGCAGCAGGGCTCCATAAGAAAAGCCTTAGTCACGCTAAAGCCATTGCCCTGATGGCACTGAAGATGATGGAGCTATCAGAAGAGGTTCTCACTCCAGATGGGAGCCCTATTAAGGTAACCCCTTTGCTCTTTATTCTCAGCTAGTCAGTGGTATGTGGACCTGATTAATTCCATTGTGTTCTGTCAGTAGCAATCTGTTTATTGCTAGGAGAATTTAAAATCACATCAATATATCATAGTCTTTTTTGTGGATGTATATTTCACTGGTGCCCATCAACAATCATGTAAGCAATGCCTTACTTTAATAAGCACAATAGACCACACAGACTAGCTGTCGCCTTGTCGTATGCATTGAATGCCTATTTGTGGCTGGAGGGCATTAGATGCACTGCTGGAGCCCTTCTTCCAATTCAGTTTAGTCTGAGAAGATGACAATTCATATGATCCAGCACTGTCCCAAGCTAAAAGCCAAAGCAGAGTATGCGATGGCAATAGGGAAATTCGCTTCAGAAGTAGGCTCCTGATCTGAACTTCAGCACTAGTGTAGAGGTACTCAGAGAGTTCTGCGGCTCTAAGGGGCCATGTGCCTGTTTTCTAAATAGTTGTTGACCTGTATAAAAGAAGAATGTGTACACTGCCTGCTCTTTCCCCGTGTTAATGTGCATCCTTCCCACACTATTCCAGTTCCTTCTCCTAGATTGGCGCAGGGGGTAGCAGGAGGTGGAAAACCACATGTCCTTTTACACCATTTTAAAGTTCCACTGCTGTTCTGCTTCTTTTGATCTTATACCAACCTTGTAGCTACTGGCATTTGGAACTGGTAATGTTTAGGTAGGAGATGGAGATTCAGCAGGGAAGAAAAACCATGGATATATAGATGTGCCTTTCTTTTTCAAGGGTCAGATTACACATTGTTTTCATTATGTGTACTCACTCCTGTTTCTGGTTAAATTGTTCTTCCATAATACAGACCTTTTGTTTTCGAAGAAAATGGGGGTATTATGTAGAACAATTATTCAACACTGTCTAAAGCCTGTAACAAAAGCCATATGTAGCTGGATGAGAAGGCCAGACAGACTTCCCATGGGATGATTTACATCATGGTTGAAATGCACTTTGTAAACTGCAATTTGTCCTGTCTGTTAAAAAATGAGGGTTCCATCCAAAATGCCTTTTTTTTTTTTTTCAAAAATTGAAAGACTGTTTTGAAGGTTTAAAACTTGACAGAAAGGAGGTGAAATTTTTAAAAATTTATTCAGGGATGTTGCTGTGATGCTCCTTGAGCAATAAAATTGTATACTTGGGAGTTCCAACTCTTCTCTATCTGTTAGTTAGGTTATATCTTGAACTATATTCCTTGAACTCTGTGTGTGGTGAATCAAGAAAGACTTAATCCAAAAGAATTTTTCTGCCCAGAAAGAAGAGTGTGGATACAAGGCAACCAAGCTAGAAATTCCATGACATAAGGCGACACAATATTCAAATGAAAATATATTGAGTTCTAGTTGAAATATTTTTATTTTTAGATATCAATGCTGCTGATGAATTTTTTAAAATGTCAAAATAAGATACTTATTTGATTATTGAAAAATGTCCACCTATTCAAAAGAATAACTTTCTGAAAAAAATCTCTTGGACTATGGATCTTGAAGAAAATTTTCTTAAAGTCTCATGTGGACATTCATCAAACACAGAATAAGCATTACAAGACAAATGGTATCTGAAGATAACTGGAAGACAGCATTTTCAGTTTTGATGTAAGACTGTTTCAAATGTGTTAATTTAATCTTATTAAAATAGATTTTCTAGATTGTTTGATGATTTCTCTATTTTTCCAATGACTATAGCTGATTAATACATTCTAGCTACACTGTCACATGCTGGGAAAGCTGTCTTCCAGATCCTCTCCATCTTTTCACCTTCTTTTGAGTGATTGCTGCAATTGTAGGGAAATTTTGAAGGTGTATGTTTTACCCTGAGAGTCACAGTTTGTGACTGTTTTCATTATCACTCACTATTTTTCCAAAAATTCCTCACGATTTCAGTGGCTGCATAAGAAAACTGATAAAAGAAAGACTATAAAGACAGTGCAGAGCAAAAATGCTTGCATAGAATAAAATGCTAGGAATAACCAAATATTTTCAAAAAGTGCTAATAAACATCCTTTAGAATTCAGAAGAAAAAAGTCAGTTCATCATACTTAAACTGAAAGTAGAGGTACTGAGAAGCTCCTCAGTGGGTTTTAGTTGTCCTGTCTTCAGTTTTAGGTGTAATAGCTTTCAGGGCATGAGGGATGGTGATATCATAAAATGTTGTTTTTACCTTTGTACTTAACCTGGTAAATTGTGTTTAAAAAAGCTTATCTTGCATAGAGGTATTTTGATTTAATTTTAAATATATTAAGGTTAAGATTCCTCTCACATGGATATCTACCCTGTAAAATTATTGAAATAAGGACTTTTGGAGAAGTCTACTTTAATTTGTCCTAGTTTAGGTGTCTACTCTAGGATGAGATGAATCACGCCTTAAAAATGTGTATTTTCTCAGTTGTCTGTAAGGGAAGTCTATGGACTTAGCCTAAATGTGGATGTCTGTACTGTAAGCTTCTACACTCTGTCAGATGAGTCCTCCTACAAATGGCAAAGAACACATAGTTTTTCCTCAGTAGTTATGTCAGTGATCGTCACAGTTAAAAACATATGCATTATTTCTAAATTGAGTTGGCATGACTTTACCTTCCAGCCAATGTTGAATTGGCTAGTGATCTGTATTTTGGTTAGCTGCCAGTTTTTCACTTAAAAAAATGTTCAGGTGCCCATCATGCCACAGATTCCCGCTAATAAATACTTTGTATGCCTAATAATGTCTTAAAGCTGCATCAGGGGAAGTTCAGATTGGATATTTGGAAAAAGTGGTCAAGCACTGGAACAAGCTCCCCAGGGAAGTGGTCATGGCCCCAAGCCAGTCAGTGTTCAAACATTTGGACAATGCTCTTAGATACATGGTTTAACTTTTAGGTTGCCCCATGTGGAGTCAGGAGTTGGAATTGGTTCTATAATCTACCTGAAGTTTAAAGAACCCCTAGGTATGTGTAACAGTTACTATGGACTCAGCTCAGAACCATTAATAGGAGACTTACTGCATGACACATTTTACAATTAAGCCATTAACATATTTAAATATTCATGAACATTAGATACAAAGTACACAATGTAGGCTGTAAGACATTTATAAGTGGCCTGACTTCTAAACAGTGAGTTGAATTGTACTATAATGTGGTTACTTTGAGCTGGTCCTGTTGATACGGATGGTAAAAGAAGTGCAGTATTTTGACTATATTTTGACCCTAATTCTTATCTGTGATTCATGTTAACAAGCACAAGTCACATTTCCTGAGTCGTTGCCAAGCATGCTGAATATAGAATGCTGACGCAGCTTCTGTTTTCTTTTATTGAAAAACCTACATCAGTATTTGGATATTTGAAAAGAACTTGATATCAGAGGGCAGTTTTCCTCATGCCCAATGTTTGGTATCTTTTGACAGATTTCATGAGTTGCTGTGACTAAATTCTGACTTTATTCCTCAGGATAGTCTAGTAGCTATTTTGAAAAAGTAAGATAATTACTCCACTAAGTCCGAGACAATTTTCCAAAATGTAATTCCTAAAAATGAGACCTTCTGATCTCAGGAGTAAACGACGGTGTTCTGTTTTCTCCCACCCCCCTCTAAAACTGGCTGACAAGCCTTGATTAAATAGGAAGAAATAATTCTCAGCCATTTTATATAATACATGACAGCACAGTTATTTGAAGTTCAATTTCTGTTAGTAGGCTAACAATTACAGCACAGTTACTCTGTTCTGATTGTGTTTTCTAGTAAGAAGGAAACATGCTAAAGTCTCCTTGGTTGCTTGCAGGGGCTTTCTCTTCCAGAGGTTTATCTCTTTTTTTAAGCTCTCTGAGGTCACTACTGGAAACTGTGAGTTCAGAAGTTATTCCCCAGGTTTGTGGGGTGTGACTGATACAATGCACGTTTAAGAGGCTAGTTACTTAGGGGGCAAAATTTTTTTAGACTGAGCCTTTATGAATCTGTTTGGGTTGTCCTGGCTGTAGAGATTTCAGCTCTAGGGAAATTTAAGTGCAATCATGAAATGTAGTGCTTTTTATTTAATGATTACTCAATTAGATATGTCTTATGATTATGGTTTATGGAATATATGTATTTTCTAAATTACTTGGATGGATATATTACGTTGTCATCTCAGGACTGAACTTACCAGAATGCAGATATTTACTTTTTGTAGTGCTTGAAATATTCATCCTTGTGAGAGCAGCGGATATCTTATTAAATGACACTTAGAATCTCAGAAAGTTAGAAAGAAAACATAAATGAATGAATGAAAAAAATACCACATTGCATAAATGGGAATTTAGGATAAGATTTTCACCTATAAAGAGCATTGGTGGACAATCAAATGAAATTTACCTGGGTACATAGTTATCATTTGAAAGTATTCATTGTAGTGATCACAAAAATACCTTGTTTGTATAACCACATACATTTTATGAAAAATCTGCCCCTTAGAGCAATGCTCATGTGGACCTCAGGATGGTGACATGGTGTATGAAGCAGGTCTGGTTTATATCCAGATGATGTGCCCACCCCAGAGTCAGAGCTGATGAGAGCACCATGGTGTGCAGCTGACATGTACTTAGGCATTTGACACTTCCAGCAGACCCAAAGGCAGCAAAAATGCATAAGGAGAATGGAGACCCTGAGCCTGCACTCCTTATACCTGTGTGAATAGCCTGTGATTTGCAGGGTAATGAAAAAATGTTGTTTTGCAGAAAGAGAGAGCAAGCTATATTATAGCAGCCTCCACAAATCCTATCATCGGTGTTGTAACACAGTCCGCTCTTTCCAAAATAAATATTTGTAACAGAAAATGGGCTGATCATTCTCCTCTGAGTGATGGAGAAGGCTTCAGGTCCCTGTATGATTTTTTTTTTTAAATCAGTTCTATTTGAGGCAAAATCCCATTACTTTAGCATGAGCTACGACCTTAGTACAAAAGAAGGACTGTTGGCTCAGACACTGCATGTAGAATTGGATA